GCAGAAGATGGATACGAGCAAACGCAGTCAGGGAACTCGGGGGCAGTCTCGAAGAGGAAGCTCGATACTTCGGTCCGCATATCAACTTATCCTGCACGTCATCCTCGGAAGTTCAGAGGTGTCTAGAAGCAGCTTCGAATGGGTTCTACAGCATGGGGGGTTTTAGGAGCTCTCGGCCCCGTGGAAATGGTCACGCACAGCGTTTATCAGCATGGTCCAGAATGCCATGCTGAGCGGCCTCGAGGCGCTCGACATTTCTGATGTACAGTACCAAAGAATGGATTCGCGACTTGCTCAGCTTGCCCGCGCCCCTCTCCGAGGACGAGGAACGAAGGAGGAGGTCATCCCAGGGCAGGGGGAGGAGGTTCAGAAGAAGATCCGCACATGGACAAACGACCAGGTTTTAAAGTTTGGGAAGATCGCCCGTTGCGAGATCGAAATGCGAGTGCGACGACTCCGATGGCATCAGGACTGGAGTAAATACCCAAAGGAAAATGCCCATCTGCTCTGCTCTCTGTTCGGCAGAATCAAGTTTGAACAAGGGAATGGGGCCCACCCATACCGACCGACGGCCTACCCAAGGCTGACGAGATATGCTTCTCCCTGGGCCAAACGCGCCCAGGGCGACTTCCGCGTGGCGGCCGCCCACATGGAGTCTGATCTGCCGGTGCACCTCGCCGACAACCCTCTGGAGTTCCTGGACCCAAATGTGGCTAAAGAATTCCGTCGGCTTGATTTTACCGAGCTGCGAGTACGCGAGCTCCGCGCAGCCACCCCTCCCCCCGAGCATGCACCAGAGGCGCCTGCTGGGGAGGAAGAGGCGCCACCCCTACCGTGGAAGTGCGAATGGCCCGACGGGGGAACAACATGCCTTGCTGCTTTTCGTACAAAGCGAGACCTACTAGAGCATATTCGACATCGACATAGAGTTCGAAACCTCGGCCATCTACTATCGCCTATCAATGTATGCATCTACTGTCGCCGCTCGTTCGCATCCAGGATAATTGCTGGTCGCCACTTATCGCAGTCGGTCACAAAAGGCATATGCAGTACCAGGGGGCCCACAAAACTCCATGATGCTCATGCACCGACGAGTTTAGCACGCACGATATGCGAGTTCGAGGGGTCCGACCTTGCCGACCTCTGTAGCCATATTGCCCAGCATATTCCTGCGAGGCTGATCCCACTTGACCGTGACAATGAGCACGGCCGACGTAGCGATGCCAGGATGGATGAAGCAGCTGCACGAGAGCCCACCTTTGGCAGGGCCACCCGCTCCCAAGAAGCCGCACACGGGAAGGGGGGGGCAAGTCGGAGGACGACAAGAAGTTGCTCTACGTGCTGGCGCGCCTGGTCCTGGCAGACAGCCGCGCCATCGCAGAAGTCATCGGCACGGTCTTCACCACGTTCGAGGTCGCCGACGGCGACGACGGCATGCCCACGGCCCTCCGCGAGGCGGGCAAGCGCTACGACGCGCAGAGCAAGGACTGGAAAGAGAAGCAGGCCCAGGGTCAGAGTATCGACTGGGGCCCGAGGGGCCCACCGCACGTCCAGATCTTCTCCGCGGGCGTCTTTTGGGCAGTGAACAAGTTCGAGGGCGATCTGCAGAAGGGGTGGCGCGAGTTCTGGGATGCAGTGATCACGAAGTCCACCCCGCAGCAGTTGTCGGAGCTGGTCCTTCATTCTCGCTGGCGCCCGAACAAGGGCAAGAAAGAGAACGCAGACGCGCCGGAGGGGGGGATCGTCTGGGCGCTAGATCCGAACCACGAGCATGCGAACAACCTGCGCCAGCTGATCATGAAGTCGATGGTGACGCTCAATGGAGCGCGCAAAACAGGAGCCGCACCCCGAGGCCCGCTCGAGAGGGAGGTCGCTCGCACTATCGAGGCCCAGGGCAAAGGGAAGTTGTTGTGAGCGAGGGCTGCGCAGTGAGGGTGAGTTCATATTTTGCCTGGGGGGGGCTGAGGAGCAATATTTGTTGTCCTAGGGGCTTGGACGATGGTTCCAGTTCCTCTGGAGGCCGAGCCCAGACCTACAGATGTCTTCAGCCACCCCCCCTCACCATACTTAGCACGAACTCGGAGCATACGCGCTTTAGTGTAGCAGCATCGGTGAATATTGCAACCAGTATGGTTGCAGCAGTGTCTAGCCAGCAGCTTAGCGATTACGATCGTGGGCGGGGGGGTGGGACTACGGTTGGGCGGGACGACTCGAGCAGACGACGGGCGACCCCTCCGATTTCGAGAGGAGCGAGCCCGACCGTGTGGTCCACTAGTGTTAGGTGTCAGGAGCTTTTGAGGAGCGGGAGGCTCCCAAGGCCACGAATCCTTGGGGGGCAGGCCCCCACTGTCCCCACCGTCACCCTCCCCCCTCGTCCTCCGAGGGGGGGTGGGCGGGGTGCGCGCGTCGGACCCCCGAGGGCGCCCTCCAGGGATGCGTGCCCGTAGTGAGGGTTGCCCTTATAGGGGCAGTGCGCCCTGTGGGCGAGAGCACAGAGTTCACGTCCAGAGGCTGATCGGCGTTCAACCGAAATGCCCCCCAGAGTCCGCACGGTTTTTTTGTTCAGTATGTCTGACCACTGCCATACACCAGGATTCCACGGGCGATTGCTTGCTTGCTTGCTCCTCCCCATCCCCCTCCTCCTCCTCCTCCTCCTCCTCCTCCTCCTCCGCCTCCTTCACCTTTTACGTTGTCCAAACCTGAATCCTACGGTTTGGGCGTTCTCCTCCTCCTCGTCGTCCTCCTCCTCCTCCTGCTCCTCCTCCTCTTCGCCACCCCAGATTGTATTCGCTTTCTCTCCCTCTCTCTCTCTCTTGTGTTATCTCTTTTTCTCTCTCTCTCTCTCTCTCTCTCTCTCTCTCGTGCGGGGGCACCTCGCGGGCGACGCTCGTACGGGCGCGACTGGTCGGAAGCGTCCAAGAGAGGGGTGATGACCACAGCCCGGCGGACCAGGACTCTTCAATGATTTCTAGGGGCTCACATCTGGTGGTTGCTGAAGCCCGGACCTGAGAACGTCAACATAGCTCGGGAGCCTTGGGACAGGGGTCAATGCCAATGGGGGTCAGCCAGAGCGCCAGATCTTGCAGGATCCTGCAGGGCCAGGGTCGCACTGACCCGGGCTTGGGTGCAGGATGCAGGATCCTTAAGTGAGGTTTGGGTGCAGGCGTTTGCAGGATTCTGCAAGGCCTGACTGACCCGGGTTTGGATTGACCCGGGTCAGCAGGTCCCCAAAATGATCTCTAGGGGCTCATGTCTGGCGGTTGTTGAAGCCCGGACTTGAGACGGTCAACAAAGCCTCCACGCTGGCCAAAGATCTTCGACGACGACGGGAACCCCTTTTTCATCGTTTGCAAATTCAGAGCTGTAAGAGGAAAGCGGCTGCAGGGGGGGTATCATGGCCGGGGCCATGAGATCTCGCCGTATCCCATTCGGGGGCGTTCCCAAATGGCGTGGTGACCACACCGTGCGGCGAGTCGGGGAGGAAGCGGTCCCCCACGGTGTTTTTGCTGTTCTCCGAAGATGTATCGGGCGGGGGCCCCGAGGGACCCAGAACCGTGCGGTGACAGATCGTGCGGCGAGATCCATAGGGATTTCGAGATCGAGATCACCGCGCGGTTTGTCACCACGCGGTCTTGCGACCCACAGTTCATGCCCACCTCTGTTTTTGTTAATGCATTCGTTGCTCCCCTCCGTGGGCCACGCACGCGCTTCGGGCCATGATTTGCAAACACCTTTTCTCGGACGCCCCCTGGTTGCAACACTATCTCTGTCTCTCTCTCTCTCTCTCTTTCCCTCTCTCTCTATTGCTCTCTTTTTATCTTCTCTTCTCTTCTCTTCTCTTCTCTTCTCTTCTCTTCTCTTCTCTTCTCTTCGCGCGCGGATCAGCCGCGGGCCCTGTTTCGGCGCGAAGTCGGCGCGCTCCGTCGCTGAACGGGGCTGCATGGCCTTCATTTTTCGGAAGGTGCATTCCCCGATCCGTGGACTTGGCGCCCCCGCGGCGCCAGATCCACGGATCTCGAATCCACGGGAGCGCACCGGCCGATGTTCCAAGAGTTGCGTTGTCGGAAGGCCGCGATAATTCAAGGTTGAACGATCCACGCGGTGTCAAAAACCAACGCGCAGGTCGTCATGACACGAGCCTGCCGCATTCGCATGCACTGGCTCCTGGCCAGGCCCGCCCCTGGGCCCCTGACGCCGCGTATCGATCGCAGCTGGGGGCCCAAGGCTCAAGTCTGCCGTGTCCTTGCAGGCGCACCTGACGCGCGAGATCACACGAGGTCTTGCGAGTTGTTTCGTTTGTCTCGGGCGGTGCGCCGGCCACCTGCTGACACCCACGGGCTCGGAAAGGGGGGGGGGCGGCCGTTGGTTTCGGCCTTGCCGCCTGAAATTTCCTTCGGCACGCGGTCGTTCCCGGCGCTGGGAGGTTCTGGGGAAACCAGCGTTGCTTACCGAGCCCTTTATTCGCCAAGCCTGAAGTCGGGCCTGTCCCTCTACAGGAGGGATATCCAAATGTAGTGAAAAAGTAGTCTGGGGACGATTTGTTTACAATGTTTGCCCATTTGGGGGGCAGTGTTTGAGTATCTTTTATTTTTCGCCCAAGATCCCCCTGTAGGGGGACACGCCCGACTTAAGCCAAGCCCCGTTATCCACCCTCAGTGCTGGGCGGGGCTGGGACGGGGAGGGGGGGGAGCATGAGGGGGAGGCGCGGGATGCATGTCCATCTCCCTTTCTCCCAGTGTCCAGCTGGGCGACCCCATCCTGGCCAGCAAAACTGGTGCCCCCCCACGCACACGCTCCCTCTCCGCCCCCCCCCCCCCCCCGCCCCGTCCCCCTCGAATCCATCCATCGCTCTCGGCGAGCGCCGGTTTTACCTTCACTTGCGCTGTCGTACCCTGGCCCTCGCCCCGTCCCCCTTCACCACCCCACTCCCCCTCTGTCACGCCCCTCGCCTCGCCATGCCCCGTCCGCACGCGGCCGCCGCCCGACCGCCCCGGCCGCAGAACCGCGCGGCGTGCAGCGGCTCCGCCCGCCCACGCCGCGGCCGCGGGGGCCCGGCGCAGTGCCCCCCTCCTCTGCCGGTGCTTGCTCTTCGGCCTCGCTTGTGCACAGCACGGCCGCGAATGATGGGCTGCTTAGGGCGCACTGTGCACCGGGCCTTGGGCAGGGGCAGGAGGGAAGCGGCGGGCATCATTGTGCAGTCAAGACGCCACGGTACGTGCCACTTTGAGTTCTAAGGGGCTCGCTGTCCCAAGTGTCCTTCCTGTTTGACGATAACACAAAATGGTCGACACGATAAGAGATACCAATATGAGCGGAAAGTGTAATGAAATATGTCAGCGCTGGCTTCGCCATGAGATGTATACCCAGATGATCGCGGCAAGTTTCGCCACCGTACTAGCGCGTCTTTCTCTTCGAGAAGCACCCATTGTATGGAATCTCTCGTCCCTGCGTAGGCCCCAGCGGGGCGTAACATTCGAGAGCTGTTCCCGGTGGGCCCCAAGAGCCGCAACATGTCACGCTTATCTTCCTCTGATCCCAAGTGACCGTAACATGCAAGAGGTAGATTTCTTAATGGACAGAAGACCGCATCACGTGACCGTTGAGTTCCCAATGGCCCAGAAGTCGTGACACGTGTCGCATAGAGATTTCGGCCTCACCTGGGGTGTGCCGAAGGTCTCTTTGGGATGTTCTTTGGGCATCTCTGGACTTTGATGTGGAATCCTCGGGTCGTCTTGGATAGTCTGGGGGGGGCCTATGGGGGGGAGGTTGCGGCAAGCCTGGGACCAGGCCAGCGGACGTCTTCGAGCCGGCTGGGGCTGGTCTCGGACCGTCCTAGAGCCATTTTGAGGATACCTTGGGCCGTTTGGAGGTCGTCCTGGGCGGTCGTCGTGGCGACCTGGGGGCAATCGTGGGGCCGCTTGGAGTCTTTCTGGGTGGGGGCCGCTTTGGGGAAGTCTTGTGGGAGCATCTCGGGGCCTCTTGCCAATTCAGGCGGGTAAGATGTGGATTTTGCCAGAGAGAGCGACGACGACGACGACGACGGCGACAGAACCGACGACGGCGACGACGACGGTTTGAAATTCTAGAAGCGACGGTGCCGGTAAGACTGTAGGGCAGCGGGCGTTGCAAAGTTCCAGAGACGTCGAGGCCGAGAAGTCAGAGTCGCCATGGGGCAAAGGTATCTTGAGGAAAACGGGTCCAGGAGGCTGTTTCGCCGCTTCTGGGCCTCTGGGCCCTCCCCGGGCCCTGGGACAGTCAAAGAACAACTCAAGATGAAGATCCCGTCTTGGGGAAAGCCCCCAGCCCAGACCCCCGACGTCATGATTTTTTCACGATTCACGACGTCGACCCCCCAGAGGTCTCGACCCATGCCCCAGGACCGGCTTTTCATCCAGAGTCGTTGGTTGACGGTCCCGAGGCTTGGCAAGGGCCCCCAGAGACAGAAAATACAGAAAAACCTTCCGTCGGCATTTTTTCATGACCCGAGGGCGCCTGGGAGGGGGTTAGAGCCCCTCTTTTTCAGGGTTCCCTGTCTTCGCGCCGGTGAAGCCCCAGGCGGGGGGCGGAGAACTAACCCCATGGGCAGCGGAGGAGCGTCCTCGCTGCCCCACCCCCCCAGCCTGGCGACAGGAGAAGATGGGGCCCACTGCGCGGAAGGTGGCGCGAAAGCTCCCCAGACCCCCTCGAGTCCTGAAATCCAGTGGCGCTGCCGCGCGCTTCCGCCACCACGCTCGGGCGGGCGCCCAAGGGGGGGGGGGGGGGCAGGGGGGGAGGGGATGATCCATTGAACGTCTCCCCAAACCTTGTATTTGGGCACGTGTTCTGCCTGGAAGGGCAAAAACGCAGGAACTTGGTCACCAAAATGAACTCGTCGGGGGGCCCCACTTATTGCTTCGCAAGAGAGCGAGAGGGCCCATAACACACCTACCGCTGCAAGCGCAGTGGCGGAAAATTGCCACGGAAGGTTTTGGGCTATTTTCGGCCTCGTTGCTTGGCTTCGGGGCCGTCAGGACACGACTCGAGACGAAAAACGGTCCCGCGGAATGGGTCGAGTTTTCCGGGGGATGACGTCATGAAAAAATCATGGCGTCGGGGGTCTGGGACGGTCGCGCGAAAGCGCCTCCTCCTGCACGCGGTGCGCCACGCTGGCGGCCCGCGTAAGCCGCGGCGTAAGGCGTGTATGTCTTTTCGCGCAAGGCCCGATTCTTCAGAGGAGTTAATAATTTCATTAATGTAAACGTGTGGAGGTCCGCGCGGATGTCTTGGATCGGCGCCAGAGGCGCCGCCAGCGGGCTCCAGCGCCGACCCGAGAAATCCGCGCGGGTCTCCGAAAGTTTATGTCTACGTCATTTGTGTTTACCGATTCGGTTCGCCGCTAACATGTCAGGGGCCCGCCCTGCCGGGGGAAGTCTTGCACACCAGTCGCGGCACCGTCGTGCCAATCGTCAGTTTTCCTCGTGTTCCTCCGTATTTAGCTCCGTCCTTCCTGCCAGAGCCTCTTCGGAGACGAAGCGGCAGAGCAGACAGGAGTTTCCAATCGGATGGCCACATTGGATGTTACACAGATGCAGGTGTAGTATACGTGCGCGTGTGTGTGTATATATATATATATATATATATATATATTGCGAGTTGCTCTAGAGTCTTTCTGAGGTTCCGTATGGGAGCCCAAGATGCCGGACAACCAGCCTCTTCCGCGGCCATTTGGTTCGGACAGGGGCTTCGACCCCTTTGGGGGATTCCATACGTGATCGAGCCGATACCTGGAAAGGAGATCCCATGAGCTCACGTTTCGACCGCCGCTCCACCAGATTCGGTGGTAGCGGAGCAGGCAGAAGCTCCACGCGGAGTGCCAGCGCACTTCAGGAGTGGGGCGAGTTCACGGGCCAAGACAGGGACAGCGAGATAACCGTGAGGAGCGGCGGTGTCGAGGACGCCTACGAGACCGAGCATCGGATCCATGGGCGACGAAAGAGAGTTAGAAGACGAGAGAGATCTAGTGGCTCCTGTCGGGCGAGAGGGCGGTCCTGGTGCGAGTGCCTGCCGGTACGTTCCACCACCTGCCATCAAGGACTCTACGATAGAGGAGCTGCGCAGGTACGTGAGGAGGCTTCGAATCTAGTCTAATGTGGCGACGGGGATCCCCGAGCAGCAGCGTGGACTCCACGCGCACTACAGCATCCTGGAGGGCGGAGACGACCAGATCCAGAGCATCGTGGAAGGGCTCGACCTGACTGAGTTCGAGGGCGAGGACGGTGTCGAGAACACCGTCAAGGCGCTCGAGGCGGAGATCATGCCAAAGAATGTCTATAAGAAGTACATGGAGTTCGAGCACGCGTTCTTCGGCACCGAACGCCGCAAAGGCGAAACACTGCAGCAGCACTCAATGAAGATCAACATGGCGTTCGATCGCCTCAAGAAGCTGCAGGTGACGTTAGACGACGTGCAGGGCTACTTCCTAGTGCGACAGGCGAAGCTCGACCACGCCGAGAGGATGGCGGTGATACTGCAGACGTCGGGCTCACTAGCCTACGAGGACGTGAGGACGGCTCTGAAGGGCCTCAGGGACGACAGCCCGCTGGAGAAGACGACGCGAAGCTACCAGGTCGACGAAGAAGAGGACTTCGAGGAGGACGAAGACCCGTCAGCGCAGGCCTTGATCGCGCTGGAGGGCTCCGAGCTGGGCGACGAGATCCCCGAGGACGACGTGATCGACGGGGACGAGGCCTACGCGGTGCTCGCGGCGCGGCAGGCAGGACCCGGAGGGCGCGGAAGCTGGCAGGAGACCCGGAGGATCGTGAGGGTCCGCACGACTTCGCGTGGATACCAGGAAGTCGGCGTGCCAAAAGGGAGGTCTGGAGGCCGCGGCAAGGGCAGCTACGAGTACCAGAAGGAGGCCAAGAAGAAGATCGAGGAGCTGAAGCGGAGGACGCGCTGCCACCAGCGCGAGCCACTGGACGAAAGAGCGCGGGAACCCGCCGAAGCAGAAGGGCACCAACGAGCAGGCCAGGGCGGTCTACGACACCAACGACTCGGAGGAGTAGGAGGATTTCCACATCTTCGACTATGGCGAGGAAGTCCCAGAGGCTGCGACCGTCGAGATCGCCGCCGCCAGCACGGAGATCAGCGAGAGCCCCCTGCCGCCCGGGGCCGACGGCGACGCAGCGAAGATCGGGAACCGCGACCGCGGGCTGCGCGCCACGGAGGGCAGCGCAGGCCGAGCAGGCCTCGAGCGCGACCCCTTCTACTCTAGCACCCACGGGAACCGAGATGGGCCCAACCAGGTCTCGGGAGTGCCTCGAGGAGGCCAAGAAACGTCTACGACATTTTTCGCCGAATCAGCTTCTGGGGTCCCTCGGGGGCACGGTGGACACTGGGTGTTCCAGGTTAATCGTCGGGGACCTTACGATTGCCATGCACGACTATGCTCTCAGGAGGCTATTCGGACTCAGTATCCGATACGTTCCATGTATCAGCAGGAACTTCCACTTCGCGAACGGCCAGGGGGGTCAGTCAAATTGGGTTGCCGAATACCCTACTGGTCTTGGGGGGGCGAAGCGGGATCCTGAAGTTTTGCGTAGTTCCAGGCGGGGCCCCGTCGTTGATCTCCGAGGGGCCGCTCGAGGACCTGTCGGGGATCGTGGACACCTCCAAGGGGGCGCGTACCCTGGGGAGCCCGGGGCTTACCGTGGCCCCTCGTCGTTCCCGGGATAACCCCAAGTCGAGACAGCGGCGCCCTCCCCCGCGCGAGTTCGGCGCCCAGGGGCACCAGAGACCGGCGCGGGCGGAGACTAAGACATCCGAAGTGGCGCGCGTCTCCGACGAGACAATTGTGCAGGAAAAGAAAAAGCTGATGGCGACAATCATCACATTGGGCCAGAGTCATAGGGGACCCACAGAGGGAGAAGGAGCAGAACGGGGAACAGCCCTGAGACCAGATCCGACTCCATCGTTTCGGGCCGCCGTGAGACCAACGGAGACGCAGGGTACCGATCCGAGCATTCCGACCCCGAGTA